GTTAAACTGGTCAAAAAGATTCGGATAAGGGAAAATAGCAATGAAAGTTGGCTTTCTTTCCCACGTTTAAAATTATTTTACAAAATAAAAATAAAAATTAGAAAACAAAAAAAATAAAAGCAACTTTCTTCACTATTTCTGAACGATTTTCTTTCGCAGACTGCAACTAAAAAGGGTATTTTATACTGCAAACAGGGTACAGGTTGGCGACGGTGAGGAGGGGGGGGGGGTTGCATGTACTTTGCCCCTCACTGTCGTGTTCAGTGGTTTACAAGAGTCAACCGATTCTTACAAAAGTTTACAAGTACTCTCCACAAACTACGACTGGTACCGCTTCATGGCTACACAAGTTTCACAGATCCCTACTTTCACAAATCGACACGACAATGGAAAGCAGCAAAAGTGCAAAATGCCCCCTCACAACTCCCCTCAAAATCCGGACTGCGCCTGCTAACACTTACAAAAATGGTGAATACCTTCGACTTTACTGAATGCAAAGTACCGCTGCCATCTACTTACAATACAGATACTAATCTTTAGTTCTCGGGTTAAACGCTACAGCCAACAAACGGGGTGCGCTAAACCACGAACGTTTCGCATGTGACAGGGCGGTTCTTCGTCAAATGAGCTGGTTTCTCGCGACACTGCCGTGTAAACGATGCATTTAACTACAGCCAACAACAACTTTATTTAGCGTTGATTAAGGAGCGTTCATCGTTCTACAATTCACCAGAAATCTTGATGAAAATAAAATGAAACATGAATGTCTCAGCAGACTGGAAGGGCGCAGGCAGTTTGGCGACGAGGGGGCATTTTGCACTTTCGCTGCTTCATACTTCCGGTTTACAAGTCTCACTCTGGTGAAACCTGTGAACTCTTGTGAAGCTGGAGCAAGCTCGTCGAGCCACCATGGCAAAACCTGTCAACTCTTGTAAGCTCATGAAATACCTCTTTAGATGGCTCGACACGTTTACAGGAAGTAGCAAAAGTGCAAAATGGCTCCTCCCTAGCAGAACGGCCCGACTAAAAGTTAAAGATGAGAGTATTTGGTGCTACAATAAACGAAGTGCAAGAAGAAAGAGCATTAAATAAAACAAAGCAAATAATGTTTTCAGGAAACAATCGCAAATTTGCATGGCGTTTCCTCGCCAACTGAATAAATATACATATCTCACAAAAACACACAATGTGGTTTAACCGAAAGCAAAAAGTAGTTTCACGAGGAGAATCATCGAAAATGGAAGGAACTCACCGCATTCCGTAGTGATGAAAGTTCAGCCGTAAGAGGATATGTATCGATCGGTTCAAGCCTTTCAACCTGCAATTTGAAAGATTTCGATTTTGAGAGCGACACGAACCGATTTGGCAGTACCTTTTCAAAGATATCCGCGATCTGCGTGCTGTTCATCGTGGCTGGAAGGGCCGAGGCGACGGCGAAAGCGCTGCTCGCGGCTTCTGCCCACGGGCGTCGATTGCTGCCGCCTACTTGCACCATCGGCACTCTGCAGCTCGCACCCTAAATTGCGTAATAACTCTCCGTCTCGAACTTTTCATCGCGCATCCAGAGTCTTTCGATATATTCGTGACATTATTTATGGTGAAAACGCGGAGAAACAGAGATTTCTGACAAAAACTTATTTGGCCTTATTCGCCGACCGTAAGAATGTTTTCCGAACGGGACCCAACAGTGCTCAGCTTGTCAAGCTAAGGCCATGCAAAGCCCAAGCTCAATTCCACTATTCGCGCCGACTTTCTGTTCTTCTCTGCATTTTCACGTTTCTAACCATTCTATCACCTCGATGACCTCAACATTCTACGTTTTCATGCATCATAAGTGGCTCATTCACCCCTAAATCCCTTTCCTCTGTAAAAGCTCACGCCCCGGCTCGAGGTGTGTTTTTCGCACCGTCTAATGGATTTACAGCCGCAATCATCTGTTTCTCTGCGCTCTAGCCTTTGGCAGCGAGGAGACGGGCAAGAGGATCGTAATAAGCCGCTCCGACGCGTGCGGCGATGGACGCGGCGTTTTCTTAACTCGTGTTAACCTGTCGATTGGAGCACCGGACTTCATGTAGACCCCGTCATCGTAGGCATTTATGACTATTTTCGGTTCTAAATTGCGTGTTGTCACCATCTCCCAGGGCCATCATTGGTTGGGGATTTTAGTCGACTCTATACGACCCCCCCCCCTTTTTTGGGAGTTGGTACGACCCCCCCCAGCCCTCTGTCCTTCCTCATCGAATCGAGCCGTCGAGCGGGGGGGGGGGGCATATAGTACGCATGAAACAGGAAAATCACCAAAAGTCAACCGCCACTCCCACAACGCCAAAACGTAAATACGACCCCCCCAAAAATGATCAAATACGACCCCCTCCCTTTACAACGTCCATGAAGCGAGAAAAATCAACTATCAAAATAAATTTTTCTCAGCCCAAATACGACCCCCCCCCCTATTGGGGATTCCCCAACAACGATGTGCCCTGCCATCTCCTACCTGGAACCATCGTCATTTGCGGGCGCGACGTCGCACGCGACGCCCACCAACGCGGCGAATTACGATACTCTTACATACCCTTTCGCAACAGGACCCCCACCAAAAGTTTCAGTTGCGAAATAACCGGAATTCTGGTGATGACTTGCGCACCTCAGGATGGTCGTTTTGTTTACTCGATCTTCCCTGTTTCAAGTGCACTACATATGCCCTCCGCACCGATTTTCGGAAAAAAAGAAGTTCCTTAACAATGATGGGAAAATGGTTAGTAGGATGGTGGATGGAGAAGGGAGGTCGAACCAGAGGAGGAACTTTAGTGGGGCCTCGTATTTTGCAAAAACTTTTCCCAAGTCTAGGACATGCCCGGGCATATCCTGAGCGGGACCGGGCGGCAGCGTTTTTACGTCCCTTCCCGTAACCAAGGTTCAGAGCGCAGACGGCCATAGTCGTGCAAATATGGCACAAAAAGATGGAAAACACCGGCCCAATGCATTGAAAGGTACGGAAGAGCACTCCATGAGCTGGGGAAGTGTTTTTTAAAGGGGAAGCGGGTTTCCGAGGTGGGTCATCCTCTTAGCAGACGTCAGTAATCTGGATGTGTGTTCATGGTCTAGCCATGTAGGCGAAAGAGCACAGAGTATACCAATTTAGTAGCACGGAGACTATGGCCGCCTGCACTTTAAACCTAAACCTTGGCTAGGGGAAGTGAGGCACAGGCGCTGTCCAGTAGCCTTGCTCAGCTATGTTAACAATGAAGCCTGTTTTCCATTCACTATGGGCCCCGTTTGGATGCTAGCCGAGTTGCGGCGAGTGCCGCTGAAGAGGCGTTATAAGGAGGCTATTTTCGCAGGCGTGTCAAGTAGATTGAACTAGGAAAAACTCTGCGAGTTTGTTCGCGATGTCGAAGAACTCTTTGAGCCTTTTTCCTTTTTGTGTTTGTTCAGCAGCAGTCATGCACTGTCAAAGCACGCTTGAAATAAAAAGGCACGCGAAAATTGCTCGGGACGCAGGGCACAGCGTTGTTGGGGAATCCCCAACCGGGGGGCTAAGAAATTTATTTTAATAGTTGATTTTTCTCGCTTCACGGACGTTGTAAAAGGGGGAGGGGTCGTACTTGCTCATTGTTGGGAGGGGGGGGGTCGTACTTGCTTTTGTTAGGAGGGGGGTCGTGTCTACTGTCGTGTCTACTTTCTGGCTTTCTGGGAGAGACGAGATGGCTGACTTTCGTGATTTCCCTGTCTCATGTGTACTGTATACCCCTACCAACCTTCAAAAAAGGGGGAGGGTCGTACGGACTGGACCAAAATCCCCAATCAATGATGCCCTGTCGGGACCACCGTATCAACGAAAAACAAAAACCTTCACTGGCACAGCTTGCAAAGCACAGGGACGACTAGTGTACATATGTGGCGTCAGTTCCAGTATTAGGGTACGCTCCCGACAAATTTGCAATTTATCGGAGGCAAATTTGGGTTACGGTACCCTGTTAGTGGTACAGAAGTTCGATTCTTGTGAACGTCCTCTTCAAGGAAATAAAACTGTACAGATGTCCTCTGGCCTTTCGATATTCGCATTTTTGAGCGAACACAGTATCAGCTTATCAGAAAGAAAGTTGGGAGAAGGCAGCAGAGAGTGGTAAGAATTCGAGGTGTGTGTAAATCGACAACAAAAAGAGGGCGACTTCTGGATAACCAGTTTTAAACGGTTGGAAATTCACATCAAGGTAACTGCAGTG